ACATCATGGTCAAGGCTACTGTCATCGGAGCTGCGGGTGGTATTGGCCAACCGCTGTCCCTGCTGCTCAAGCAATCCACCATCATCACCGACCTCGCCCTGTACGATGTGTGCGTATGCGTACCTTGCACCTCAAACGCATCCGCCATGCAGATCCGCTGACGGATTTCCTCTTTGCTCTCCTCTCCTCTCCCACACAGCGTCAATGCTCCTGGTGTCGCTGTAGACATTTCTCACATTGACACGCCCAGCGTCGTCCAAGGCTACCTGCCAGACAACGATGGTCTGGCAAACTCTCTCAAGGGCACCGACATCGTCGTCATTCCCGCTGGCGTGCCACGCAAGGTGAGCGTCATTGCAGACTTGAGATGGCATGCTGCGAGCGAGCATCGAAGCAGATTGGGCAGAAAGCGCAGACTCTAGGCGCACCGCACTTCCCTTGGCGGCGCCGCACTGCCTTTCTTGCCTGGTTGTGTACGCTTCTCACAGCATTTGCGATCAGCTTTCAACGTCTTCAGACTTTCTCAGCGACATCTATTGACGTGCGCTCACTCTCCATTTGTAGCCCGGCATGACTCGTGACGATCTTTTCAATGTGAGTGTCATGCCTCCCTCATTGTGCCAGCTTCTCACCTTTGCCGACACTTTTTAACACCGCTTCTTCCACGAACTTGCAGATCAACGCCGGTATCGTTCGTGACACTGCCATTGCTATCGCGACCCACGCTCCCAAGGCATTCGTGCTGGTCATCAGCAACCCAGTGAACAGCACTGTCCCAGTCGTCGCGGAGGTTTTCAAGAAGAAGGGCATCTACGACCCCAAGCGGTGAGAGCTCGCGAGCTCTGACATTTGCGCAGCAAGTCCAAGGCTGACACTTAGACCGCTGTGATTTCATGCTCTTCCAGCCTCTTCGGTGTGACCACTCTGGACGTCGTCCGCGCCTCCACCTTCGTTTCCGAGGCAAACGGCGAGCCCACAAAGTCTCTGGACTACTCTGTCCCCATCGTCGGTGGACACTCTGGAGAGACCATTGTCCCTCTGCTCTCCGCTTCTCAACCGGCCATCAAGTTCGATGCCAGCAAGCAAGCTGAAATTGTCAAACGCATCCAATTTGGAGGTGACGAGGTCGTCAAGGCAAAGGCTGGTGGAGGATCTGCCACCCTTTCCATGGCTTACGGTGCGTGAGGTCATTCGTCGCTGCGCGTCTTGCTCTCTGCTGACGTTTCATTCCTTTCACGGACGTGCATGAGCAGCTGGTGCTCGCTTCGCAATCTCCGTTCTGGAGGCTGCTTTCGGCGGCAAGTCTTCGACCGAGTACAGCTACATCGATGTCAAGGCTATCGGTGCCGGAGAGTGGTCGGGCGTGGTGGGAAGCTTGGACTTCTTCTCTGTGCCCGTCAAGCTTGGCAAGTCGGGTGTCGAGAGCGTCGGCTCTGCGCCCAAGCCTACCGCAGAGGAGGAGAAGCTTCTCAAGGTCGCTCAGGACCAGCTCAGCGGCAACATCTCGAAGGGCGTGCAATTTGTGAGTATTGATGATGTGTCATGGGCATGCCGCATCAATGTCCACTGTCTGCGTGAGCTAATCGCTTGTATGTCTGCAGGTCGCTGAAACTGCTCAAAAGGCAGGTCTGTAAACGCGCGGGTACAGCGTGGTGACGTTCATTGCCAAAAGATGATTGACACGCCCTGATGAACTTTTACGGGATGCCAAAGAAATACATCGCTCAATGGACTACGCGTGTGCATTTGCGAATGTGTGGAGCCCTAGTCCAATCGGAGTCGTAGGCTGAAGCGCAAGCAGGCAGGAGATGATTCATCTGGCGGATTGGTGTCCCAACTACTGCAAAATTTGAGCAAGAACAGCTTGAACAGCGCTTCTGGCCAAACTTGGCGCTGCGGGTGTTGACGAAATTGCACTCGACTGCAGCGACCACTCGTGAATGAT